ACGCCTCACAGCCCTTTCTCATCTGCAGATCAGCCTGCCCTCAAACAGCAGTGAGCTCACATTGCCTGGGACACAGCTCTGCAGCTGGGACGTGCCCTCCTGGCCTTCTGCAAGTGCTGTTCCTTGTGCTGTTCACAGGACACTGTGTAGAGTGCTGCTGCTGAGCACATTGGCTTGTGGGTAATGTGGTGTGGTGTAATTTGTTTGGAAGTTATTTATTTTAATTATATTATTGTGTTATATATATATATAATCACAATAAAATAATTGAAATAAAGAACTATATATACACTATATATATAGTATATAACTATATATACAACTATATAATTATTATAATATATTTTAATATGAAAATAAAACAATATCTTAATAATATATAATGAATAAAATTATATATTATATATAATTATGTATAGAATTAATATAAATAATAAATAGAATACATTAATAAATTAATAGATCATTAAAATTTAATATAATTAATATATATTAATATATAATATTATATACTAGGATTTAATTAGATATATATAATTAATTATTTAATTATACTTTGTTAAGTATACCTGTGGGCTGCACAAGGAACAAGGCAGGCTTGCCTGTGTCCTGACCTAGGGAAACCCTGCAATTTTTACTATCCTGCTGGCTTTAAGCACCATAGGTACACAAAGATCTCTGTGTTATTCAGGAAGCACAGATTACAGAATCTCATGCTGGAAAGGATGGATCTAGCTCAGTGCATCTCTTTGTCAACTAGAGATGATGTGAGAGATTGGAAACTCATGAAACCTAGTGTTTCATGAGTTTCCAAACATTTCCTTGGCTCAGGAAAGCTGGTTTCTAAACCCAGTTTTTGGGCTCTGAGTACACCTGGATGAGGTCTTAGAGCCCCAGGGATCCCCAAACATGTAATTTCCTATCAGGAAGGGAAAAGGAATCTTGCGAATCCAAAAAGAAAGGCTTACAAACACTCTGGAAAGGAGATAGGATCGAATGAAATGCAATTGAAAAAAATCACAAAAATTGGGAGTTTCAGTGCCTTCAAAAAAGAGGCTGTGATTAAATGAACTGCGTTGCAAAGGACCAAAACATGCCAAAACTAAGCTCACAGATGCTGCAAAAGCAGGGGAAAAAGTCAAGCAAGAATACAAAACCTGGAGGGGAAGATATGAGGGACATGGCATGGATACTTAAAAAAAAAATAAAAAAAGAAAAAAATTGTTCCCTAAGTCAAAGCCATCAAAAGGCATGGCATGCCATCAAGGGCAGGGACATGCTCCAAAGATTCCTCTATTGGTCCCCATTGAAATCGCAATATTTCAGGGGGATCTATATGCGACCTTCCTCCTCATATTCCTTCCAAAAGCAAGTCATTGCTGAGGCCTTAAATGGATGTTAAGACATTCCGTGGCAGCTGCAGCACCGTCTAGCTCTCCTTCTGTATGAGACAAAGCACTTTGCAAGGTCAGAAAATCATGGGGCACTGAGAGGAGATGGGAAAAAACAGCCTTATAATTATGATGTAAGGGATGGTCTTGGAGAGATCTGCTGATTCCACAGGCAAGCAGGACACTGCTGAGCAGTTTTTGGAGCTGCTTTCTTCTTAAAAATGTGACTTGATCTTCCTGGCTAGCCTCTAGGCCCTTTTTTTGGTAAATTTTAATTCAAGAAGTGTAAGTAGGTAAGTGGCTTTGGTCTCTCACATGATCCCTTATTAAATTCACTCTCAGACTTGCCCTGATTCAATCAGAAATATTTAATGAGCCTGTACCTGAGGGGAGCCCATTCTCTTAAGGCTGGGTCAATATTTGAGGCTGGCACAGGCACTGGGGAGGTGGGGTCCCTGCAAAGCCAGCACTAATCCTGTCTGGCCTCACAGGAGCTCAGAGGATGCTGTCTGTGCCAGCTTCTCATGAGTGTCTGGGCTGCTCTTGCTAATGGAGCTCTGAATTACTCTCTGGAGGACTGGTGGGTGAGCTTGGGCTGTTCCTGGGCCATGCTGGCTCCAGGAGAGAGCCTGTTTCTCCTTTAAAAATGGGATTTAGGTAAGTGCCATGATTTTCACCCTCTTTAGTCTTACATTCCCTCATCGAGCCATACCATTCCTGTTTGTGGTGAGTAAAGGTAGGATGGCAGCTGTCCTGTAAATGCTGCAGCAAGGAAGCTGGGGCTTGATCCCACTGTGCCTTTCTCCCTGCATACCAAAATGCAAAAGGCCAAAAGCCAAGGCCAGCCTGCAAGAGCTCTGCTGATGCTCCCTGTAAAGCCAGCTGGCTTCTTCACCTTCAAACCCCCTGCAATCTCACTCTGCAGCAGGAGTAAATTAATTTGATTCATACCTGAGGCATCTTACATAAACAGTCAGGCCAACTCCTCCACTGAAATGAGGAATTTTTTTTTTTCTTTCCTTCAAAATCTGTCACTTTACTTCTCTCTTACTGGGAAATCAACATGCCCACTAGCAGCCTTGGTGTGCTAGTCAAGAACACCCAGGAGCTTTTGTGGGGTTCTGTGTATCCAAAGCAAGAAATGTGGAGGTATTTAAATGAGAAACTTGCAAAGGAAAATGGTTTGTAGCAGGAAATTTCTCTCTAGAAGAATATGGAATTCTGCTGGTGGCACTTCTGTGATGATTAACAAAGCAGTAATTTTACCAGCTGGAGCTGATACAGGGTGTTCTAAAGCAGCCAAAGGCAATGGGGCAGGGATGCTGGGCAAGGACAAAAGCAGCTCCTGCTGCTGTCCATTCACTGCACAAAACCAGCCCCCAGATGGAGTTATTTGGGGATTCCTGGGCTCGGAGGCTGACAGGACACCAAGGAGCTCACTGGCAGGTTTGTATCAAGGAGTCAGCTCAGAGAGGCCAGGGAGTGTGACCTGGCCCAGGAATTTGTGCTGTACCTACAGTGCCTCCCCAAGCTGTCTGTGGGAGTGGAGCCACCAAGAGATATTTCACAGATGTGCCTATTTTGGTGTCAGTTCTGTAAAGGCCTCAACTGTTTTCTTCAATAGCTTTTCTTTCCTTCCCAGATGAAGCCCATCCCGGCTTTCCCTCAGACTGCAGCAGGCAGTAAGCTGCACACAGTTGCTATCTAGTGGCCAGAGGAAGGTAATGGAAGATTTTCCCTGCTGGTTCTGGGCAAGAGGACTGCTACACAGATACAGGCAGGAATCTGTTATGTGTCTTCATGTAATTTGTCTGGGTAGGAATCTGTTAAGTGTCTTCATGTAAATTGTCGGGATTACTGCTGTTTTTCAGTGGGTTAGATCTCTGAAAATTGTTTTTCTTGATGGTGCAATCACTACTATTTAAGCTATAGTTCACTGCGGTTGTAGTGTACAGTTCACTGCATAGCTAAGGATTTGTAGTAACTAATGGTATTTGGGATTTGATGTACTTGAAATCTATTGGAAAACAGAGCAGGGACAAGGCCCATTACTGAGAAAACCACTGGTACCATAATATACTCAACGTTTTATTATAAAACCCTCTAAAGAGCCACTTTATAGGTCACAGTTACAACAAAGGAAATGCCTTGAGTTAGGAAAACAATGGGGACACAGAGACATTGTTTAACATTTCTTGTTTGAGGAAAATGAGTGTCCTTCAGGACTTGCCCATGTTTACCATTCCGTCATGGAGACATCCCAGCAGGAGCACTGAGGCTGACTGGGCTGTGAGGGGGAAGCAGAGCTGCTTCTGCCCATGGCTGTCTCAGTGAAATGTCTGGACAACTCGTGGAGAATGGCACAGGTGTACACTGAGGGAGGATGGCACAGGGAGTACGCTGAGGGCACAGTGCTACACGGATATTCAGGGTACAGAGAGGGGCTCTTGCCAGCTCTTCATGGGCCAAAACAAAAGCTTCATGGAGTCTGTGGCCTTCTGGTGCTCTGGAGAAGGAAATCCCCAGGATCCTGAACCAGAATCAGCAGTTTATTTGCATGATTTTTTCCTATGTGCACAGGGCCCAACCTGCCAGCTGAGGCTCCAGAGGCCTGGCATTAGCAACTCCTCCATCTGCACCATAGTGGGAACTAAAGAGTAAAAAAAAAATGGGAGCATAGTCACCTTTCCTGCTTCCAGGATACCCTGACCAAGGGTTTTTTTGCACCCTGGCTCTGTGGTGGGGGCAAGCAAGCCCAGAACCTGTCAGGACATTCTCACTCACCCCAGTGACAGCACCAGCCCTGGGTATCAGAGCCCTGTGCTCCCACTGGCTGTTTGGCCTTTGTGTGAAGACACAACAGCCTTTTAGAGGTGCTCTCAGGCCTGTCAAATATTTTCCAGGGTGAGGAAGGTACAGCATTTTTCCTGTCTGCCTTTACCTTGGCTTTGGTGTAGCCACAGGACCCCATGGATGATCCACCCTGGAAGTTGGTGCTGCTTTAACTTTGTAGGGTTAAAACAGCTCCAGTCCCATCCATCAACCCAGTTCCTGAGCCTGGGCTCTGAAGGGTCATCAGAGGAGACAGAATGAGGAGTCTCCAGGCCATCACACGTGCCAGCAGGTTACAGGGAGGGGAGGAGTGCATAGATTTCTGCCAACCCACTGCCACCCTTCAAATTTCAATATCTCTAAGTTTAGCAGTTCCAAATCTCCAACCACTTTCATTAGAAAGCTTGGCTACGGTAGAGAGGGATGGGCTTTGTAGGCCATACTGCCAGGGCCCAAAGGCTGTATTAATGATCAGGAAATGAGGGTGACAGCACCAAGAGGTCCAGCAAAGCCCTGGTAGTGCAGCCTTACTGCAGTAGGGAGGGACAGAGGGATGGCTTCAGCTGCAGCTCTTTGAGGATCAGACACCACCACAGCTGGGGCAGCAGCATGGGCGCTGCTTTACCTTCCCTCTCCTGGGAAAGGGGACCCCTGAAGGATCTAGCTTTCCCATGAAACAGCTGAGCAAGACCTCAAATATTCTTTTTTTTTTTCTTTTATTTTTCTTTTCTTTTTTTTTTTACTTTTTTTTTTCTCTTTTAAGACCAAACTCCTCAGGTGAATTAAGATCCTCAAGAAAGCTAACTGAATCTGCCTGGCAGATCTTCTTTGCTCAGAGCTCTTTTCGCTGCCAGTCTGTAAGACAGCTTACAGCACGAGAAGGTGAGCAGCTCAATATTCTAGCAAACCTGCAGCTGGTAGAAGATGCTGGAATGCATCAGGACACTGATTAAAAAATGCCCTGGACAGGCTGCTGTGTGCTTCTCATTCATATTTGAAGAATTGCTCACATGTGGGATAGCCCTTGATTGAAGGCTGGATGAAATGTAGCTGAGTGATGACTGGCAGCAAAACAGATTGACAACCTTATCAGGACAGGTACAAACTCACCAGGCTGAGGAAGAGCAGAGGTTCCTTCTGAATCCACTACAGTCACTAATACAGAAACCTTAATAACTCAATGATAAACCTTCAGAGTAGAAATACACAAAACACCCCCTATGTACAGTAACGTTCTTGTTTACATCAGCTGGGTTAGGACTTTGATGGAAGGATTGCCACTGGCTGTTATTGTTTTAGCTACATGGTTGGGATTTGTCTGGAAAGAGCAGGTTCATGTGGGGTAACTCTGGTCAGCAGCTGTGACTCCAGCGCTGTGTCGGAGCTGTGGGCGCCACGTGGAGGAGGCACTTGGTGTGTGGTGGTCCTGAACACCCAACCTCCACTTACAGATGGTTGAATCCCCTGGGCCAAGCGTGGGCAATTCGAGTCTTTAGTCCATCTCTGAACAACGTGCTTCTAACTAGCTCCCTTTTTCTCCCATTCCTGCCAAGGAATAAAGGCAAATTAGTCAAAATGCAAAGCAGGCAACCATACTGTGCATGGGATCAACATGACTGTCTAGTCCCCAAGTGGTTTTGGCTGCAGGGTGGGTCAGGGATATATTTAAGTTACAAACAATGCATGTATTTATTCATTTAAATTGTAGGCAAGGCAAACACAGGTGAAAAGACTGGAGGAAAATCAGGCTGATGTGTCTGAATTGTGTTGGTCAGGGGTGTTTCCCAGACATGGGACTCCCCCACAACCCCATCCCACCAGCCAGTTTGCTCCACTGACAGAAAGGAAAGACAGAGGCTGTCCCAGATGGATTTTCCAGCTGTACCTCACCTTAGCTTTCTGTAGGACTGTTCCCTTCCCTGTGACCATAACAGATAAGGGCCGGTTTTTTAAAGCCGTGGCTGAGTTGACTGGTGAGTTCTCTGCGCTGTTTGCTGGACTGGCACTTTTGGCCTGAACCTACAATAAAAATCAGAGAAATGATTATGAATACAGACTACTGGGAGAGATCGCTGCCCTTTCCCACCATCTCCTAGTCACAGTGTCATCCCATTTGCACCCAAGTGCATTTTTTCAGTGACATGCCAATTTCAAAAAAACATCAGGGGCGTTTGTGATGTGTTTGGGTTTTGAGGACTCTAGAACTAGAGATACAGAGCAGGGTGCAGGTGCTGAAGATCTCCAATTCATGCAAAACAAGTTCCCAAGAAGGAAATTAGATGCCTGAACCTCCTGCAAAAACCATCCCTTAGCTCAGCCAAATGCAGAAGGAGCTGATCCCAGACTTGCATGGCTCTGGAGGGTGCTGCTCAAAGTCCCATAGGAAAATACAATCACTCTCCTGAGCTCCATCCACCTTTCACTTCCCCATTACTGCTGTTACCTCATTAAATTATTATTACATAATGTATATTATATATAATAGTCAATACAGACATATTAGCTATACATTCATACAAGATTGTATATTCATTCATATGTATTGCACATTACATATAATAATGATGCTATTATTAATTATTACATTTTTAAGCAGGCTGAGACTGTGTGGCTGCCTAGCTGCCAGAAAGCTGCTGTGTATCCCAGGGGTGCCCCACGTACCCGTGGGGCTGTGTTCTCCAGGTGTGTGGTGTCCACTGCTGTGCCCAGTGTCACCGGGCCAGACTCTGCCTTCTTCAGGTTCTCCTTCACCTCCACCAGGCTCAGCTCCAGGTCCACCCTCTGGCTTTCCTTCCTTTTGCATTCTTCATCTATCTCCTTCAGCCTCTGCTCCAGGCTCTTGTCTGTAGGAAGAGGAATCTTGGTGCCTGCTGGGAACCTGGGGAGCTCCTGAGGGGAGCAGGGATCAGGGCACATCCTGTACATTTTCCTTGGGTTTTATCCCAAGAGGGATGTGGCTCTTGCTCTAGTGCAATCTGGGTTATGTGGTTTGGCTCAAAGCACCAGATTCCCCCCATCTCTTCTGGTCCCAGAAGGGCCAGGTTCATTGCTCCCTCTTTCTCCAGAGCCCCAGCTTGGCTCAATTCCATACATCCCACCTTGCCCTGCCCTACCTGTGCTGCTACCAAGCATTTCCTTCAGCTCCCGCCTCTCCTTGCGCAGCTGGGTGAGCTGAGCTCGGATCTCATCCTTCTCCTTCTCCAGCCTCTCCTTCTCCTCCGTGAACCGTCTCACCTCTGCCTCTGTCCTGTTCTTGCCCAGCTTGGTCTCCACTGCTCCTGCTGGAAACACAGCCCCCCAACAACAAGCCCAGTCAGGGGGAAAAGAGCAGGAGGGAGAAAAGCTTTCCAGATGCTTGAAAGGAAACAATGGAAGGTCTGAAAAGTCACCAACCACAGCACACAGACTGCTGGAGAGCAGTGGCAAGTTCAATCTCAGGGCACCACCTGTCTTTAAACACCCTTGGGCCACCTGAGTAGCACACCCACCTGGCAGTGGCACCTTGGGCCACCTGAACAGCACACCCACCTGGCAGTGGCACCTTGGGCCACCTGAGCAGCCCACCCACCTGGCAGAGGCCTTTTGGGCCACCTGAGCAGCACACCCACCTGGCAGTGGCACCTTGGGCCACCTGAGCAGCACACCCACCTGGCAGTGGCATCTTGGGCCGGTGTGCAGGCACCAGCTGGGGACTGCCCACTGGAACTGGCCCCACTGGCACCTCAGGGGCCACATTGCTCTGCTGCTGGCTCTGCATTTTGGCAGCAGGCACCCGTGGCACAGCCTCCTCGGGCTCTGGCTTCTCTGGGTGTTTCTGGGAAGGAGAAGGGAATTGGGATGATGAGGTGTAGGGAAGTGCCTCAGTGATTAAGCCTGGCCTGGTATCATGGTTTGGACAGTACCTGCTCCACAGTCTCTGCTGCCTTAGCACAGGGCTCAGCTTCCTTGGCCATGGGGGCTGTCTCAGCTGTGCTCTCTGGGGCAGCCTTGGCAGCCCTTTCTAGGGATGGTGACCCGAGGGGGGAAGACTGGCATGACATCTTGCCAGCACAGTGCAGTAAGGACTTCACTGGGGTGAGATCCAGATACACTCTGTCTTGATCCCCCTCCAGTTTGCTCTCGCTCTTGGGTACTTCTTCCTGCAAAAGAGACCATCTGCTGAAACTAAAAGTACAAGAAACATCTCACTGCAGAGCAGCACTATCTCAGGCAATCTGGAACATTTCCCAAAAATCTTAGAGGAACTAAAATGCCAGTCTCTGAGTCATTCCACAGAGGCCTTTTTGAAGTACTGAAGGAAAGGCCCCTCCTGTTTTCCTTCAATAGGTCTCTCTGATAGCAGCAACAGCCCCATGCAAGGACATCATACTGTTGTACATCCAGTCTTTGCCTTTCCTGAGGTGACAGTCCCATTCCCAGCAAGACCCTTTGTTCTTGTCCTTTCACACAGGAGTTGGTCTTACAGGCACAAAAAGGAATTTTTGAAAGGCTAAGCTCCAAAAATCCCACTATCACCAAATAATCCATGCTGTTTGCTGATGAAAACTGTGGAATTTTATCCCAGCTGCCTGAGGATCTCTACAGCCCCTTTCTGGAAACCCCTCTCCCATTCCTTAGCAACTCCTCTCCATACTTGGTTCTGCTCCATTGCGAAGGCCAGGATCTCCCCAGGGGCTGGGAATCCCCCCTTGACTGCTGGAGACTCCCCATGGGCAGCTGTTTGCCGTGGTGCCCCCAGAGCTCCTGCAGCAGGGCAGCTCTCTTACCACAGGCAGGTCTGGCAGATCCACGTCGTCGTAGAGCTCGTCCTGCTGCACCCTGCCCTTGGGCAGGTTGTCAATGTAGGCATTGGGCTCAGAGTATTTCCTCTGCATTAGCCTGTGAACAGGACATCCCATCAGGGGGACTGGATTTGCTGCATGGCTCTGCAGTGCTGCATTTTGAGACACCTGAGAACACCACTGCTGAGATCTGGGCAAGGCCAGGCAGCCAGATGCAGGAGAGGAGAAGGCAGAGCCATACAGAGCAGTGGGGTCACTGCTGCTGCTGCCTGGTAAGCAGCATCCACCAGAGTACTGTACTTGCCCTGGGCTCTCTCCTTTCTCACCCAGCCCTCAGCCACAGCAGCACTGCCACAGACACATTTTATGAAAAATCCTTTCCTTAGGATTTTTTCTCCTGAGAAGCTGAAAGGCCTCAGGAACAAAATGTAAACAATGGTTATTTGCTGCTATGGAATGCAACAGGTGGATCTATGATTGGTCTCATGTGGTTGTTTCTAATTAATGGCCAATCACAGTCCAGCTGTCCAGACTGTCTCAGTCAGTCACAAGCCTTTGTTATCATTCTTTTTCTATTCTTAGCTGGCCTTCTGATGAAATCCTTTCTTCTATTCTTTTAGTATCATTTTAATATAATATATATCATAAAATAATACATCAAGCCTTCTGAAACATGGAGTCAGATCCTTGTCTCTTCCCTCATCCTAAGACCCCTGTGAGCACCACCACACAGCACAGTCACCCTGCCCCAGTGATGGATGGGTGGCTGAGAGCCCAGCCTGCTTTTGCAACAGCCACTCAGGCACGTGCCCCATGGCAAGCTGCAGCTCAGGAAGTGCTCTCCTGTCCCAAAAGAAAGTGGCTGAGCTGCAGCTGTGAATTCACCACCTATTTCCATGGCAGCCAACCTCCCACAAGTGGAGAGCCCCTGCTCTGGCTTGCTTTCCCTCTCCCAGCCCCAACCCATTACCAGTGACATACAAGAAGGAATTCTTGGCAGCGCTCACAATGCAGGAAACCCTGTCAGCATCCACGTAATCGTAGGTGAATTCCTCTGGGTCTGTTTTCGAGCCTGACTCCGACAAGAGGAGGCCCAGCCAGTGGCCCATCTCCTCTGAGGACTTTGCCTGCAGGGTGATCAGACAGACAGGACAGGCTGCAGCAGTGGTTTCTCTGCACTCACAGGGCTGATGCTGGCTTAGGTTGGGTAGGGAAGCATGCTGGCAATCCCCTGGGTATTAATAATAAAACTTAAAAGTAGGCTCTTAAAGGCTGCCTTAAAAGTACAGCTCTGTGTATGGACTGATTCAAAAATTTGGCAGCTACATAAATGCAGCTCTTTGCTCTGCTCCTTCCTAAAATTTCTAGTCAGTCTGCATTTTCCTTTCAGTGGTGATCAACTCAGCTCTCTACAAGAGTAAGAGAAGTCTCTGAGGCTGGAGATGTTGGCAGGGAGCAGCTTTGGGTGAGGAAAGCCTGCGGGTTTTATTCTGCACCAGCAGAGTGCAGCAATGGGATTGCCAAAACAGAGGCAAGGAGACCCAAACCCTTTCCACGGTTCTTTGCAGAGGAGAAGGGAAGAGCTTAGAACATCAGAGTCCACTGCTTTAACATGGTCAGGACCCAACTCCCAGCTGCAGTGAGCAGTCTGACATTTTGCAACATGAAGAGTTAAATTCTGTGCCATGAAGTCTAGCACACAGCCACATCCACTTCCCAGTGCAGGGGACTGCACTTAAAGCAAGGAGAAGTTGGCTGATGCAGTCACTTTTTGCACTGATTTGAGGAGTCAGAGCAGTAACCACAAAGTAAAATTCAGGGCAAGTGAATATATATATACATTTTCCAAACTGGAAAGTATATTTTAAGTTTTCAGTCTGTTTTATTTAGCAGAGACTTCAGTCCCTGGGAAGCCTGCCAGCCAGCCAGTCCGTAGCTTGAGTCTGACATTGAGTCTGACATCCCAACAAAATACAGATTCTTCCATTCACAAAATGTAAATTTTCCCAGCACCTCTTCTTCACATCTGTAATTGGGCAAAATTTTTTAGATACAGACAGACCCTGAATCAGAAACTAAACAAAAACATCTTCCAATTTCATGGTATGCCCTCAAAGTCAGTTGTTTAGCTATAAATATTCCACCCACTGGAAAAATACAGGAAATTGCTCACATTGTCCACCTCCTACTATAACCATGCTGTCGTCAGAGAGAAGCAAGATTAGAGATAAACAGTCCTGGATGCAGGCAAAGGAAAGTAACAGATGGAGATGAATTCACTTGCACTTTCAGGGGCAGATCTGTGATAGGCTTACTTGGGATGTGTGCCCCATGGCCTTGGGGCTCTGCTGTCAAAATATGAAATTCTCTGTTCCTCCTAACCACAGCTTTAAATCCCTAAAGTGGCATTGTTCTCATCTAACATTAACCATCTGCAATGCACTACACAGAACTTAATTATCCAAGGTTATCCTGCAGTGGGGGGAGAGATGGGAATCTCCAGAGGACCCATGTCCCCCCAAAAGATGAAGGCTGAATGGTGTTTCTGGAGGTGCCAGCATCACACACAGCCTGGATTACCAGGGAGGTAGGACACATTCTAGGTGACCACAGGCAGATCATCCAAAGCCCTGCTCTTCAGGTTCTGTTTCGTTGGACTGATGTTCCTCTGGAGGAACTCACTGGCATTTAGACCTCCTAAAGTACCCAAGCTGGTGATTTTGAGCAGAGCTTCCTCAGAAATAGACACCCTACCTCCAAAACAACCCTCTCCTCCCCGTTGTGCAGGATGCGGAAGGAGTAGAGATGGTCAGGGCTCGGCTCTGGGATGATCTCACAGCCTGCCAAACTCAGGGGCTGCTGAGCCAGCTTGCTTCTGTTCCTGTCCTGGTAGAAATGGAGGTGCCCATCTTTTATCTGACACCACCGTGACTTCCACTGGCTGTTCACCAGCACATTCAGGTAACCTGCAAGTAATCAGAGCTCATTAAACACATTTTCCATTTAATCCATATTAATTTGTGTAACAGCCTGGGAATGTCTAAGGAGTAAGTTATGAGATCACCCCACAACACAAAGTCACATGCACCAATAAAGAGCAAAAGCACAAAGACAAGCTGTCCTAGCCACACAAAATAGGGTGAAAAGGGTAAAAATCTTGAAAATGAGACCCTTGAAATTCAGGATAGCTTTGGAGCTGCAAGGTGGCTGCAGCTGGTTGGACAAAGTTGGTCCCAGGTGGTAAATAAAGCTGATCCTCTCAACTCTCCCTGCAGGCTCCCACACCCTGGCAGCACAAATGCCCAGTGTGTGCATGTCTGGTATTACCCACCCTTCCTCTTGGGTCACCCTGAGAGTCACATCACCACAATCTGCATGGATTTACTGGCAGGACCACCTGGCACAGGCCCTTTTGGGGAGGATGATGCCTGGTGCTCATCCTGCCCTGAGGCAAATCCCTGCAGAGGGACTCCTGCTGCCACTCACTTGAAGTCTCCAGGGATCTCTCTGGGCTATCCAGGGAGCTGGACTTCTTCCTCCCGAGGTTCATCAGGTTGCTCAGTTTCAGGCCAGTTGTGCCCTTCTTCTTAACTACCAGAAATGAAAAAGACACATGTGTGGCTTTCCCAGCTCCCAGCCTGCTGTCCCACCTCACACACATCCCTTGCAGAGAGCAAACCTGTGACTCAGGGACAAGCTGGAAAAGTCCAAAGCCCAGGGAGTTCAGGAGGAGGATGGCACCAGTAAGATCAGTTGCGGATCTGTGAAGATGCTAATCTGTGTTGCTTTACATGTGGGGTGGCTCTGACCAAAGGCCAGTCACTGCAGGAGCACTGGGAGGTGCCTGCACAGCTCTTGCTGGGCATTTACCAACCTCCTTTCACTTTCCTATACCACAAACAATTTAATTAAGAGCCATTACCCATTAACATTTACTGTATTCAAGTCTTTTCCTCTCTAAAACAAGGACACAAGGTGGGAGGGGGAAAGTTTATGTCCAAAGAACCTCGTCAACTTTCTCCTACTGAGCACATCAGCCAGTGTGTGAATAAGCCTGTGGAACCAACAGGTAATCCTGGCAAGAATATCAAATTCCCAGGCAATGAATGCACACACAGCTTTAACCAGGTGTGTTTGAGGTGGCCGTGGCAGGAGTCACAGAAGGGTAAGGGCCCATTGTCCCTGTCATTCCCAGGGCAAGGTTTTACCATCTTTTGTCTCAGCTGTCTCCGCGTGGCCGTCGGTGCTGCTCCCGCTCTCGGAGGCTGCAGAGTATCTCTCAGACACCTCCACCTGTCAACAAGCACCAGGCACAGGCTCCACAGATGCACGTGACCCATTCTTCCAGCCAGAAGGTGCTACAAGGACCTTTTTCCCCTTCTCCCATGTTATGAGTTCCCACTCTCTCTGTAGCAGATGCTTTCACTTGGCCATCCCCAGGCAGCTCACTCACACTGTGCCCTTCCCATTGCTCCTGAACACACCCCACCCCAGCTGGGCTCACCTCTGAGGAGACACAGTGGCACCACTGGTGCCACCCCATGGCACCCTGCAGCCTGGCTGGTGACAGTCCCTACAGGGGGCATGGGCAGAGAAAACAGACAGGTGCCCAAACAGGTCAATTTGGGTGCCCACCAGAGACTTAGGAAAGTCTCTTTGTCCTCCCACTGTTTTGGAACAAGCTGCTCCCAGGGGAGTGTCACCTAAACCTGGACTAGAGATGGCCCAAGCCCTGGCATCCAAGGGTCTGTGTCCCTCCCAAAGCTCTTGGAGAACACAACCATTCCACTGGATGAGATAGCAGCTACTGCCCTAGACAGTGAGAAGCCAAATGCTGAGTTAGTCTGGGAGGGAAGATATGGCAACAAAATTAAGATGCAAAGGAAAATTAAGATAGTTCCAAGAATGCTCCTTTTCAGCAGCACAGGGGTCTGGTTACCCTCAGTCTTTGCTTACTTAAAATTAAGGCATCTACACTACTATCTATTGAAGGAACAGGGCTGAAAGCCCAAGTGCCACTTCTGTCTGTGGAGACAAGAGGTACCTTTGGGTAGCTGAGACGCTGCGAGTCTGGGATGTACTGGTTTCCTTCACTGCCTCCTTCACAGAGCAAACCACTGGTCTCCTGGATTACCTGTGCAGAAGGGGAGGTCAAAGCCTGTGAGAGAGCTGCAGTAACAGGATCAATTCATCCCCCCCAGCTAGGACAGGCAAAACCACATCAGCCTGGGAGAGCCATGGTTTGCTGTCCCTGTGACCCTGGGGACTGTCCTGGAGCTGCATCAGGCATCCAGCAGCAATTACTGGATCCAAGTCACTGGGAGAGGCTGCCAGCAAAGGCAGCCCTGGCGTCTCACAGCCCCTCCTGGGCTCCAGGAGGCTCCTCCTCCTGCTGCTGTCCCATGGGAAGGGCTACATCTACCCCTGCCCTCAGCCCAGACATCTCCCCCACCACAGCAGCTGGGCTGGGAGGTCCCCACGTGGCCTCCAGTACACTGAAGGCAGCAGGGAGTGCAGGAAGAATCTGTCCCAGGACATGAAAATGAAGTGGTATATTTGTATAAAGGCTTGCAGAGAGGAAGGGAGCCAGAGCACGCAAGGACAGGGCTGAGATAAGATCTGGTCTCCCAGCAAAGCAAGGGAGCACCAGTGGGACAAATCCTGGAGGTGTCACTGACCCTGAGCCACTGCTCTGCCTGGTCCTTGCTCTGCAGCCCCAGCACGATGACATCAGCGTTCGTGGGGATGATCTTCAGCTTGTGCTCCTTCTTCCTCACTTGCTTTTCCTTGTGAATGACTGTGCAGCCCAGCAAATTCACATCCAGCTGGGGGTTGTGGTCCTTGGAGCTCTTGTAGCACTGGGGAAGGAAGGCAGGAGTGGGTGAGAGGCAGGGGAGGAACCTTCCTGCTCCCTGGCAGGAACTCAGCCCCGCAAGTGATGCATGAAGTCGTGCAGCCACGTGCATTGACTGCACTGAACACAGCAAAGTCCTACAGTTCTAACAGGTCTGCACAGACTACACCCTGGAGATCCCTGATGTGCAGGTACACACACACCTGACTGCATGCACACATGGTCTGAAATACCTTCTACTGACACAGGATCAAGTATGTGGTTAGCCTCCGCAGTAAGAACCCCTTCTGCTCAACCACCTCAAAAAGTTTGCCCAAAAAGTATCCCTAGACATTTTGGGGCATTGTGATTTTGGTCACAAATATGTTCTTGTGCCCCCTTCAGCAATCCCATGCCCACGTTCCTTCTAAAAAAGGAACAAGATCCCCAAATCTCCAGGACATGGCTTTTGAAGCTTCTAGGGGTACTTAGTTTTTTGCCAGCTCATTTAACATGGTCTGAGGTGTCACTGTCTTCCTGAGCAGTGACCAGAATTGTTTTAGACAAACAGATTGTTTTAGACAAAGAGGAGAGGATCTGCTCACCAGCAGCCTGGTGTCCTTGATAACACACAGCTGCTTTGCCCACTGTCCCAGCCACTTCTTTCTCCACAGGAAGGCACAGATGCGGGCGTCCTTCATCAGCTCGATGGTGGCCTCTGGGGATGGCCACTGATGGGTTGCTGACTTGCCTTTGCTGCTCTCTTCCTCATCATAAGATTCGTAGGAACTACTAACAGCTTCACCGTCTTCTACAACAAAAGCAAAGCTCTGTCATTAAATCCATTTTTAGAATAACTCTGAGTCAAATGCTTCCCTCAGCCATGCTCACACATGCACAAGCTTCCAGTGCAGGGATGTGTCTTTTGAGGCTCTCCTCCTACAGGAGGATAATTAATAAGAAAATTACCCTCACGGATCCTTTTTTCTTTTTAGCCCAGTATGGATCTCATTGTAGTATTTTGTGCCTAATAGCCTCTGTTAGCAAACACTCAAAAGACACTTCTTGGTTGACCACAAATCTGAGAACATTCCCGTAGACATTTCCTGATGTTTGCTGCTTCCCCCCCAAAGATGCTTTTACTACATTCCATTTCAAGCCAAACACACACAATTTTTAAGGCAACAACAGCAAGCTACAACCAGCCCTTGTCCTCTAAATGCCAGAAGTAAAAATGGTATTTGCAAGGCCATGCAGCAAGCAATGATCTATTCTATTTCAGATATCATTCACTTTCCCCCTGGTCTAACACGTCCCTCTCTCTCTACTCAGCTTTTAAGGGACAGCAAGGAGCTTTGAAGTAACACACTGTTGCAGCACCAAAAATTAGTCATAAGTGGCAAATGTGAGGAGCAGTAACAACATTTTTTACGTCCATTCTTAAATGGATTGCTATGTTACTGGGATGAGTTGGAATTTTCAATACCCAGCTCTAAAGCATTGCAGAATTTTGGAGTTTTCAGTTGATCACTGGTACCAGGCTCATCAAAAACATTGAAAATGTTCTCCCTGAGTGCAGAGGAATTTGCAAAGCTGTGCTGGCATTTAGAGCCCTAAGTCACAACATAAGCTCACAGAGTAATATGGTAACATTGGGTGGGGCACCATTCGTGTAGGGTTTGCGTTCTTGTCCTATCAAATAGCATGGAGGAATAGTGTTAACTTTCTCTCACTGGAATTAAATCTAATTTGGATTCTCACCAAATCTTACTATCTACATAAAAATAACAGCATCAGATTGGTGCAAATGAAAAGAAGAAAAGCAGCCAGAAAAGAGAAAGAAAAAGGCATTAGGAGCTTCACTGAAGAACGTTTCAGTTGGGTTTATTTGTTCTTTAAATAAAACTAACTGAGATGCAGTAACAAAGCTACACTCTTACCCCCAGTGAAATTTCACTCTACAACCTCCCTCAAGTAATCAAAACTTCACCAATTAAATAAACTTTTTAAAAAGCAAATACTCCCTTTCAAAGTCTCTTAATGAAGCACATCTCCATGCCCTCAATGTATCAAACTGTCCATCTTTTATGAGAAAACTTTTATGGGAATCCTCAGTGCATTCCCACTATGCAGACCTTGTCCTCAGGCAGAAATTCACATGGAGTAACAGTGAAGGTGTTTCTCACGTACAGACACCAAGGAGCTGAACCTCTGCACTGCTACAAGACCCTTCCATAGGCAGCAGCAAGGATGCCTAAGGGAACCTCATCTTCCAAAATTCCCTCCTTTTCCACATGGGCCCTCTGGCCTCTTTTGGAAGTCTCTGGTGCCCCCACCTAAGGAGCAGGTCTCAGGCTGCCACCTTACTCCTGAGAAGCCCTGGATGCTCTTCTGTGCATCAACCACAACCCCAAGTGTGGTTCCTCATGAGATGAGCTCTTCCCTGCTTGAAGAGCTGCTGCCCTGGTGACACTGCTACAGCCTCATGAAGGACAGGCATTTACCAGGCTGTGCACCTGGCAAATGGGGACAAGCCTTGCCTGGCGGCTTGTGACAACCCTGTGGTCACTACTAAGGCTCACAGTCCCAAATTGTTCAGCTCAGGCACCGGTGGCAGCCACAATCCTGGATGTCTTTATCTAAAGCCACCTCTGCTTTCCTGTGGGTCTTCCCATGAGCTCCCAGGGAGCTAAATCAATGCCATGATGCAGGAAGCTCAGACCATCTTATACTCCCACTCTGCCTAAGTGGAGCACCTTCAATCCTTCACCAAACAGCTACTTGTCAATACAGCCAGCATTACCACACATTATCAGCTCCACACCAGTGACAGAACCAGAATAAAGTGGGATAAAGGCTAGGGAAGTTGTCTTCACTGTCATCCTGAGCACAGGGAAAGCCACAAAAATAATGCATTGTGCAAAGCAGCGAGAGGTGGTTATCCTCCATGCATGTAACAGGCAAATCCAGGGGGAGATACCTGATAATCTTTGCTAAAACTGAGCTTTTGGGGGGTATTTTTGGGTTGTTTGTTTTGTTGTTGTTGTTTAAAAAAGGCACTTCAGGTTTGGAAAGCATGCCATACCCATAGTTATTGTGGCATAAATAACGCCCTCAGTAACCTGCAACCCTGGCCTGGGTCCAGCCGCAGCAAGCCTACCAAAAAGACCTGCACAGTCAAAAAGAAAGAGAAAGGGAGACAAAGAGAGAAAGCCACAGATAAGCAAATGCAGAGAACAACGGCAGCAATCCCCTCGGCCAGTGAGGCTGTCCCATCCCTGCACGCTGAGATTTCATAAAGGGACAGCGTTTTCAACCCGTCCCCTCAAACAAGACAATTCCCTTTAAAACAGAATCGTCACCATCGCAATTAAGAGCAGCCAGGGCTGATGAGCTGTTTCAGCCAGAACAATGATTGCTCAGTTGGCAGCCACGGGGCTGCTCCTCTCCCGGTTTCACTCCTTATCGCACCCTCCAATTATGCAAAGGCTGCTGATAAGGCTTTAACACATTTCAGCCCAAGAGGGAAGGGAAGCAGCAGCCTCTGCTGGAGCTGGAAAATGAAAGGCAGAGCATCCCCAGCGGAGGGGTGGGAGTGCTGCTGATGAAAGATGGACCCCGAGACCCAGCGGAGTCGCCTGCTTGCTTTTCTTTAATTAATCCACCCCCGGTTTGCTGCAGTGTCTCACAGTCCCACCTCTGATGGTGCACCAAAGCTCTATCTCCTCAGCCCATCTGGAGGCTTGCTTTGATGTCCTTTCTTGGCAGTGCACCCACTTATTTTAGTCGTGTTCCTATTTTGGTCTGACTTCACTACGCCCATTTGTTTGGGGACACATGGGTGTCTTCCAAGGCTCACGCTGTAATACTGACAAAAAGTACCACAGAGGGATGTCGTAGACATCGTTTATGGAAAATCCTTTCCTTAGGATTTTTCCTCCTGAGAAGCTGAAAGGCCTCAGGAACAAAATGTAAACAATGATTATCTGCTGTTGTGGAATGCAACAGGTGCATCTGTGATTGGTCTCATGTGGTTGTTTCTAATTAATGGCCAATCACAGTCTGCTGGCTCAGACTCTCTGTCTGAGACACAAGCCTTTGTTATCATTCATTTCTTTTGCTATTCTTAGCTAGCCTTCTGATGAAATCCTTTCTTCTATTCTTTTAGTATCGTTTTAATATAATATATATCATAAAATAATAAATCAGCCTTCTGAAACATGGAGTCAGATCCTCATCTCTTCCTTCAACCTTGGACCCCTGTGAACACCGTCACAGGGGAACTTCTCACAAGAGCTTACAGCAACAGGACATGGGTAAATGGATCCAAACTGAGAGAGTCTAGGTCTAGCTTGGAGTTCAGGAAAAAATTCTTGACTGCAAACATGATGAGGAGCTGGCACAGGTTGCTCAGAGGGGCTGTGGATGCCCCAGCCCTGGAAGTGCTCAAGGCAAGGCTGGCTGCAGCTCTGAGCAGCTGGTCCTGTGAAAGGTGCTCCTGTACATGGCAGCGGGGGTGGAATGAGATGCTTTTTAAAGTCCATTCATACCCAGGTCATTCTGTGATTCTGTGGAAAACCAGCAGCAGCTTCCTGGACTGCCACCCCTCCCTATCCAGCTTGTGGGGAAAGGCATAGAGGGCTGGGGGGTATCTGGGGCCAGGCTTTGGCATCTCTGGCCAGGGCAAATCCAGGTATGTCCACACTGCCCTTGAGCAACAGCAGTCACACCAAGGTCGCAGATCATCTGCTAGCAGTGAGCACCACTGTGTGGGACAGGTACAAATACCACTGACACCTGATAGGGCACAGGGTGGGGCAGGGGGAGGGATGGGATGGGATGGGATGGGATGGGATGGGATGGGATGGGATGGGATGGGAGAGCTTGTGCTTGTTGAAACAAAGAGCAGGACAGGGACCTGCAGGATTGCCTTCATGCTGCAGCCTGATCTCTTGAGGCAAAGCAGGGCACCAGCATCACTGCCCAGCTTCCCTCTGCACAGCACAGCACACTTCACCTTCTCCTGAGCCCCCACAGCCTCTCCTGCCATGTACCTGCTGCTCCACACCTCTCCCTGCTTCTCCTGCTGGCTCAGCCCCCAGGAACCACCTCCAAGGTGAGGTTGCCAAAGAGCACATGAGAGATTCTCACCATGCTTCCTTCCTTCCTCCTCATACAAAGCAGACCCTGTAGCACACCAGGAGGTTTGTGTAGAAGGGATGTGGTCGGGTCTGCAGTGGCTGAGCAATCACAGGATGCAAAGGCACCACACTCCTCAGTGCTGAGGAATCACTGGCATCCTCTGCCCCATCTCTGCTGCTTTCACAGGCTCCTGTCCCCACCTGCAGCTGTGACAGTGCTCAGGAAAACACAGAGCCTACTGGTGCCACAGAGAGCCTCCCAGAGCTGCCTCCCCTGGACAGTACTCCCATCATTTGTGCTTTTCTCTTTTTGCAGAGCTCTCATCTCTCATTTCCTTGGGCATCTGACTGACCTAGATTTCGGTGGGTGGTGGGTGTATTTGCATCTCAGAGCAGCAGGTTACTAAGGAAAAGCAGAGGTGGGAGCTGGGTGTGCACTGACCATTCCTGCCAGCCAAGTCTCTAATCTGAGGGCGAGTTCTGGAGCTGCCTGGATAACACAAGCACATGGATCCATGGCTGTACTCCAGCTAATCCAGCATGTGCCTTTTTATGCCATGGCTCTCAACAATTTATCCACTTTCCCCATGTGCAGCAGAGGGGAAAGAAATCTCCTTTATCTCACATTGCAGGCATGGGGATGAGGCTGCAGCACCCTGGGCTGCCCCAGCTGCAGCAGGGCTTCACTCTCAGGGCATCACAGCCCTCACCTCAGCCACAGGACCCAGAGCCTTCCAGCAAACACAGGGCAGAGCTGGGGGGCCTCTCCTCTGCACTGAACAGCACCTCTCACCCTGGCCTCAATGAGCCTTAATCTCTTCCCTTCTGAGCTGGGCACCATCTCATCTTCCTGCTCACTGACACAGAGCTTCAAAGCCCAGTAGTTCACACTGGGGCTGGAGGGGACCCAGCTTCTCCCAGATGAAGCTGGGAATGTCAGGCAATATTTAAGTTTATGCTACTTTTCACTAAAGTTTTATTATTCTGTACTATCTGTTAAACTAGATTTGTGCCTGAATATGAATTATTTGCATAGAAGGCCCCTGCCCTGGATGACTCAAAGCTCACCCAAACTTCAGAAAGCCCCACTCCATGTGCCATCCAGCACATCCAATGCGCTTCCTATGTGTGTTCAACCCAGAAGCACTTTACTGCTTGGTTCTGTCTGCTGTGCATTGGACATCATAATTTTTCAATTTCTGGTTGCAGGGTGGCTCAATTTCAATAAAAAGGTTGAAGCTTGTTAGTTTTTAGGTAGGCTATGAGCCCCCTTTGATCTGTGTCTGTCACTATGTGCCCTATGAAAAAGTTTGTCCCCGTGTTTCTTATCAGCTCCCTTATCAGCTCTTGTCCCTAGAGACTTCTCCAGACTGATCAACCACAACTCTCTCAGCCTTTCCCCACAGGAGAGGTGTTCCTTCTCTCTGGCAATTTTGGTGCCCTCCCCTGGATCCACTCTAGCAGGTCCATGTCCTTCCTGTGCTGTAGCAAAGTCATCTAATTTTTTCCCCTGCATATTGTGAGAGGCAGTTTCTGATTTTCCACTGATTTTTCAGGAAGGTGTGAGTGCTTACAGGCAGACTGGATCACTTAGGTGTGACTAACTCAAATTTTCAAATAAACCACGGGCTGGTTTATGAGTTATAGGGTGTGGATTCCATTCACTGGCTTCAGCAAAGCAGAGCTAGAAACATTGTATAAGGTGTTAATTTCAGATTAACAGATCCAACAGCCAAGGCTTTAGATTCAAATCTGTCACCCTTAACCCCCTTTGCTTGCCCTGACTCTTGCCACTCAGCTGTGCCCATGCCACACACTGTGCTGCAGCCAAGGCTGATGAGCAGAGATCTGCTCCTGCAGAGGGGTGATAGGATCTGTCTCATGTGGGCTTAAATGGATTAGAAAGCGATGACAAGATCAGCTCTGCTATCAGATCACAGGAAGGCAACCTCAGTGAAGGGCGTCCAACAAAAGGATGCAGGAACACAGTGCAAAAAGTGAGAATGTGGGAGCTGAGCATGCAGCAGCTCCTCCCAGAGGGGTGACAGGGGACAGGCAAGGGTGGCCCTACTCCAGGACATGGCTGGGGTGCTGTCCCAGGCACTGAGGGTGTGAGCATGGAACCCACACGCTCTCCCCTCACACCAAGTGTGGCTCTCTAACCAAGTCTACAGATGGCTAAACTGCCCCAAGAGACAGAGCTGAATAAAGAGCCAATTATAAAAATGGTTATCACTCCTGACAGAGCAGCAGAGCCATGGATTTTGAGCCCCAAGGGGACAATTAGAGCACTAGGACACGAATGCAAGCCACCACAGCTTCACCACTCAGTCCTGAATACAAACTTGTGTTTGGCTGCAGCCTATCTGCCAGAAAACCACCAAAACAAAGAGGACCCACAATGGTTTCTAACATTTTACGCTGACAATATATGAAATTTGTGTTTGGCTGCAGCCTATCTGCCAGAAAACCACCAAGACAAAGAGGACCCACAATGGTTTCTAACATTTTACACCGACAATACATTGACCCAAGCATATTGCTAACTTCTACAGGAAAGTTAAAAATTGGAGCAATTCAGAAGTCTTTGCTTTCCAGCTAGCATTAGGTCTGTAATATCAAGTGTGATGAGCAGAAAACAAATTTGTCCCAAAAGCTGTACGAAATATCTGTGCTTTCATTTACTGATTCTCATGAGTCTCAAGTCCTCCATCTCCCCCACAAACCCCCTCCCAAGGGTTAGCTGGGATATACCATTTACAGAGATGTCATAGGGCTCAGCCTCCTCGTAATACCCCTCTGGGGATTCAATCTTGGGGACTGCTGGTTGTTTTGTTTCGAGAATCTGCAAAATAAACACATAAAACAAACATGATTTAAGATAAAACCAGATCCACCAAAACAATGGGACATCCTTCCCCCCTTTTTTTAGCACTCAAGTGCACCCCAGTGGATGAAATCTTTTAGATGTGGTAGAGTTAGGTCAAATATAAATTGAAATTATTGCATAATTGCATCATAAATGTTATTTTCTTTCATGTTGCTTGGGAAGATCAACTCATAGCAGCAATTGCAACCATCAGCCTTACCCTGAACTGAGATTTCTGCCTGCTGCACTGACCCCCCCTAAGCTGCCCATGGTACCAGGGGATGGCCCTCTGTGCTATGGGTTATAAGATATGGGTTATCTTATCAGGGAACCAGAAGGGAGGACAATTGGTGCAACCCTGGCTTTACACTGAAAACACAACCTGAGCAGTTCTGGTTGTGTCTCCAAGTCCCTGACTGATAGAAACTAACAACAAAAACTCTCTGCCTTAGGAACTATATTGGGAATCTTTAATTGTGCTCTTAACAAAAAATGAAGGAAATGGATAAACAACACCAATGGAAAATAAGCCTTTGAAAAGAGTCCAAGTGCTGGAAAATCCCTGTGGCGCCTGCCAAAACCCTCCCTAAGGACAAGCAAGGGCTGGCAGGAAAAACATGCCTTGATCCTTTAGAAATATCAGTACATGAGGGGGAAAAAAGTGAAGAAACAAACTTTTTACTTTTCAGGTGATTCACAGAGATGTTGGACATGAGACAGCAGAGCAGCAGCATGAACAGATCAGAGCACAGAGCTTTTGTTCTTCCCAAATAGCTGGCATCCCATCTCCCACCCTGACCTGACAGTAGCATTCCCTGTTCCCCAGTGAGGTGTCCCTGCTTCTCACTGAGGTTTAACCACCCTTAGCCAGCTGACAGCAGGATGCTCTGTCCTGCCATGCTTCAGCTGCTCCGACTGAGGCTGTGCAAACCCTGCCAGGATGCCCAGGGTTAAACCCCACTCCCCCCAGGAGGAGGGGCAGGTCTCTTTGCAGAGACAGCAGTGTTGAAAGTCACAAATCATGAATTCTGCCAGCCCACAATTTGCCCCTGTGGAAGAGGGGCAAGCTGTGCACCAGCACTGCAGGACCAGCCCATCTGCAGGTTATGCCAGCATCATCAAATGCAGGTGCAAAGCTGCCCATCCTGCCCTGGATGTTCCCACCAGCAGCTTCTGGTGCTGAGAAGCAGAAAGGAGGCTTTGAAGGAAGAGATTTTCTGGCCAACAGCTGCCCACAAAGGGAAGCTGTTGGGCTGTGGGAGTGAGGAACCCTGGCCACACCAAAGCCACACGTCTGCTCCCACTTGGACGAGCTGCCTGTGGCTCTGCCAACCTCCCAAACTTCCCCAGGGTTAAAATTCCTCATGTGGGTCTGCCAGATGCTGTGAGCAGCCTGAACTTTCCTTCCAGAGGCACGTAGAGCACTGCTGGAAAACACTTGCCCTCCAAACACTTAAAAGGTTTAGGAACTTCTTGTCCTAATGTGTTGCAGTAAAGAAACAAAAACAAACCCAGGCACTCCATGGCTTTACCTAATCCCTTCCCTGGCTAGGAAATGTGTCTGTAATTGCCATCTGTGGTGGCCTCCTGTGCAGCCAGCTCCCTTTGTGCTGTGACCATAAAGAAATTGCCTACACAAAGAAATGCTGTGGGTTTTTTTAACGCCATCCCACAACTGCCAGGGAAGGGGCTGCTCTGTTTGGTTTCCTACAGACAATGAGGTTTCCTCAGGGTGCACCTTGGTTGACCAGAAGGTATTTGTTTTGCCTCCTCTTTCCCTAGGGGTGTGGTTTACTCTCTAACTTCAGTCAAAGGCTATAAATTTAATTATTTACCCACACTGGCCCTTGCAGAACATTTGCCTGCTGCATTATGGCCCAATGAGCATGCAAATATCACCACCCTGGCTGTTTGCATCCCTACCACAGGACCTTCCCTGGGGATGGATGCCTGCAGGAACAGGCAGAGCTCCAGGAGAGGTCAGCAAGGCCTGCAGAACTCATGGTTTAAAGGTTGTTTTGAGACAAATTCAAAGGAATTAGTGAGATCCAGGTGGGCCATCCCTGTTGGGTTGCCCAGTGGCTGCCAGGGACAATTGGCTGTTCAGAGCTTTATCACCATATTTCTTCCATGCCTCAAAAGGCAAGTGTAGAGCAACACCACAGGATGCCTGAGTGCCACCAAACCACAGAAAAATCTGCAGAGCAAAAACAGATAAAATCTGAATTCCTCTCCTAACCTCTCAGTTTCTGTGCAAGGAGTTGTATTCACCCTCCACTGCCCAGCTGGCTGTGGCTCCTGCCTGCCCTGGGAGCTGCAAATCCAAGGGAAGATCCATTTCCTCCTAACAGCAATTTCCAGTCATTAAAGCTCTCCCCAGCTCTGTTCCCTGAAGGACACTCAGATATCTTTGCTGCCAAAGCTCACTGACACTCAGATGCTCACAGTGAGGAGGTACCTGGCTGCTGCATCCAAGGGAGGTTAATTCCAGTGGCAAGCAGCTGGGAGAAGGAAATTCCCAGCACAGGTCTGGGAGAGGACAGGTGCCCTTCTCAGCTGAAATCTGAGACTATTTTTTTTTAAAATTCCCTTATTTTGGGGGGGAATTTTTAAATCCCTGGTTTAACTCCCTGATTGCCCAGTCAGAAAGCTGGGCTGCACCAAGCTCAAGAGAAATGCCTTGGGGACACCTGGCTGCTGCTTCCCCACTGGTGCCTTCATTCCACCTCCTGCCCACCATGAAATACAGAGCTAAACAGAGGTTCCTGCTCTGGCCACTGCTCCCAGGCCCTCCAGCCCCAGCCATCTGCATGGGCAGAGCCCTCTGGGGCTGGAGCAGCTCCCAAGGCAATCACACTGCATCCTAGCTGCACCCCATCCTAGCCCTTGTTGTTGCAGCTCCTCCAGCTAACTCCAGCTGAGCCACACAGATCCCTGGGCCAAAGTCCTGGGGTCTCACCCTGCATCCTCCTTCCTGGGAAAAGAACAGATCCTCCTTCGTGGCTGGTGGAGGCACCACCCCATCCTCCTCCATGCCTCCTCCTCCTCCTCCCCATGCCTGCTCCGTGCCCTCCTTCCCCTTCACATCCTGAAATCCCAGCTCACAGCAATTCCCACATTGCACCAACTGCTGAACAGCAACATCAGGGGCTGGAGCATGACCTGAGTCTGGCACAGCTGGGCTGGCTCCTGGCACAGAGACAATGGGGTTCAACTGACAATGGGATTTAGCTGCCCTGCAGAGAAACCCACAGAGCCAGCAGCTCCTCCTCACAGACCTGTGGGCTGCACAACCACAACAGCCCCAGCACCCATTGCAGACAGCACCAGGTGTTGCCAAACCTCTGGCAATGCCCAAGCTGAGAAAGGCTCTGGCAGAAAGGGAGGTCCTGGTAATGTCCAGGGATCTTCCTGCAGCTGAGGGGTTCCTGGCTTTTCTAAGATCATGTCAGCAGCCCAGGCACAGCTGATTTACAGCCCAGGAGAGATTTCCAAAGCAGCAGCTGAGAGTCATCACCACCTCTGCTTCTTTGAAAACCTCATTTCTCCTTCCTCGAGCCCATGCAATGGTTGTGGGTCTCCCTGGCAGGGAGCACAGCCCAGTTTGCACTCATGGGGAGCTCCCAGAGCTGCCTGCTCCACCTGTGCACAAGATTTGGGTACCACAGGGGCTCCTGAGTGTCCAGCCAGCCCGGGAGCTGCACCAACCACACATTGACCCACAGTTTTTGTAAACATGAAACATGCAGCTGGAAATGCCTCGCTCAATATTTTGTAATTATTTTTAAAATAAAACTCACCAGGACTCTTTGCATCACCATCATACACAGGCAGAGGTGTTTCCACCCAGCCATGCTGCACTGGACCTGACAACAGCAAAGTCTCAAGGGGCTCAGAGCCCCAGGGGGAGGCAGGGAAAAGCAAAGGGTGTGAGGGATTTACCTTTGGAGGGGGGAGGTCTGGCAGGCTCTTCTGAGGAGGTGACAGATGCAGTCCTGAGTCTCCATTGGTCAGGGAGTTCTTCTGATCCAGCACTGCAAGGCAGAAACAATGACACAGATTGCATGTAGCCTCTCCCAGCAGAGCACCTGCTACCCTAGAGCAGCAGGATGCCATTCCAGTGGGAGCACAGTGACAATGACAGGCAGGGCTGCAGGGCCACCATGGCAATTCAGGCCATGGCCAGAAACATGGCACTGGGGGACCCAGCTGGCCTCTGGTTTTAGGGCATCTTTTTCCTTCTGGAGGGAAAACTGTGAAGGCCAGACCCAGTGCTGAGACTTTAAAGGGTCTGGAGAAGCAGCATGGGCAGACAGCACACAGTGTCTGGAAACCCATGGCAGTTCAGTCCTTGCCAGCTCTGATCCCTGCAAGCAGACAGGTCAGTGAGTGTGCTCCTCTGCTACCTTTCCCAAAAAATTGGTCCATCACCTCCCTGCACCCAGGGCAAACTGCAAAGGTGGCTGCTCAGCTAAGTGCACAGTGGCTTATGTGATCACTGCTCAAGGGAAGGCTGCTCTTGAAGCAGCCCAGGCCAAACACGTGGCATGTGGCAGCAGAACTGCTCCAGGTGATCCCTGTCTGCCTCTGGAAAGTCACTTTTTCCAAGCAGCTGGATGCAGAGTGATTTAGTATCTGGAGGGGACATTGAAGGCTCAGAAAACTTGTGTTCAGTCCCCTTCTCCTACCACAGAGCTCCTGGGTGGCCTCAGTGAGTGCCCAATCCCATGACCTCTGAGATAGTGCAGTGATGGATGTACCCCCTCCTTCTCCAGCCACACAGGCCAGCATCACAAATCACACACTGTTCCCTTACTGGGGTGGGAGGGCAGGAATATTTTTCCCTAGACAAGCATTGACATTTTGCAGGTGTCCTCTGATAAAGATGCCTCTCTAAAAGCTGTAGCTTGAAGAGGACTTAGAAGAAGGAAGGAAAAAGAAAAACCATCCAAAATCCTGCCGAAATTCACATCTGTATTAGCTGTTACTTATCTGTGCTCTCTGTTCCTTGTAAAAGTGAATGTCACCTGGCATTTGGGATAAGAGGATCCCTGTGGCCACACCAGGAGTCCTTAACTCCCAAAATCCTGTCCCTTTGTGCTGACTTCCAGGAGGAGATGGCATTTGGCTCACTGAAGAGCCATGTGCACTTGGGTAGAGATTTGCTGCATCTCTCAGGTAAATGAGATCCATAAATGATGGTGCCTTCATCACCCAGTGCAGGGAACTCAATTACTGGGCCACAGGAAGGCATCTCAAAAGCTGTGTCTGTTCTCCTTAAATCCTTACCACTGGAATTGCAAGTAGATATGAGGAGCAGGGAAACAGATTTTTGTGCAGAAACGGTGTATTTTAAAGTTTGGAGGGGTGATTTTTGGAGGTGATGGGCTTTGAAAGCATTTCACCCTGTGCTGCTGGAGCTCTGCAGAGCACAAGATATCCTGTCAGCTCAGGCACAGAAGTCTGTCCCCAGTCCCATTACAGACATGGAATTGCAGTAGATAAAAGGGACAGAGGGACTTGTGTCATCACTGGAAGATCAATATCACACCAGTGGGCACTTGGGCCCCCTCCACCCACTCAACCTGAACCTGCAGGCACCTCTCCATCCAGGCACAGAGGCAGGACCAGGGCTCTGCACCCAGCTGCAGAGACCCCACACCTGTGTCTCACTGACTCCGGCATTCCCAAATAACTCTGCAGTTTTACTTGGAATAGGAAGTTGTTGAAAACAGAAAGAGAGAAGTGCCAGGTCCCACAGGGAGTGGCTGAGTGGGCAGGGTCATGGCCTTGATAGGGAAAAGTCTGAAACAAAAGAACCACCTCTAAAAATAAATTGTCTGAAATTTCCCCTGTGTTTGAGCATGGTGGATCAGTGCAAGCTTTGCTTTACCCACCCAAATGAGAACTTATATAAAGAGATGTTTCTGTGGCTGCTCAGCTCCTGGGAGGCTGTGTGATCCCATTATAGAGCATTACAGCATCGCCCTGTCTGGAGGTCACACTGGGGCTGCACGTGTCAGCTGGGAGGACATCCTGTCTTCAGAGGCATTTGAAGTTAGCCCAAGTTTGGCTGCAGGTAGTTTAAAGAACAAATCAAACCAAATAAACAAAAAAAAAACCCCAAACCCACCACAAAGAAACAAAACCAAAACAAACTGTGGAAGTGAGACAATCCCAACTATTGCAGGACCAGCACATCAGCAGCAGGCTGCTCTGATGAGTCCTTGTCTCATCCCTCTGCATTGGAAACTCTGGGGCAGGATCAGCCCCTGAATAGGTGTGCATTTAAAAATGTGTGTCACTGATTCTCTCCCTCCATGCAATTATCAGCAGCCCCTTTCACGGTGAACTTCAAAGAGGAAGAACATTTTTAGACAATTATGTTCTTTGCCGTGTTACAAATCCAAAACCTGGGAAAACTAAATTGGAAATGAGTATTTCAGCTAGGTTTGATTCCTCAGCCTTTACTCTGCAGAGCTCCCACATCCCTGGGAGATGAAGGAGCTCTGCCCCTGCACATGGTGAGGGCTGAGCCCAAACCCACCTCACAAGGCTGTGACAGCACAGGCCCTCTGGGCCAGGGCAGAGCAGCACAGCAAACCAGAAATACACTTTCAAGGCCTCAAAGATGCAAAAAGTGACTTGCTTTGTGGCCAAAGAAAGCATGAAGGCTTCCTTGAATATTTCAGGCACTGGAGCTTCAAGCCTTAGAAGGCAACATTTTTATCCCAAAATAAAGACCTCCAAAGTGCTACTTCCAGGAATAACCTCACAGTGTTGGCAAGGACCACTCTTTCCAAGGGAATGTTATGAAAATGGCCCTTCCACAACCAGCAGCTGCTTCAGCCCTCAGAGCTGCCAGAGCAAGGCTGTAACCTTGTGTGCCTTCATCATCCCCTGAGACACAGTGAAAGCATTAATCTTCAGCTCCCTACCTTTGTCTTGTTTCTCTTGGTCACCCTGCTGTTTATGGACTGTCACTTTGTTCATATAAATATACTCCTCATCACCACCTGCAAAACAAAGGGAAAAGTGAACTCTTTACCCACATGCTGCTTTCACACTGCTAACTTTTTCCACAAAGGCAGATGTAAAAAGTGTCTCTGCTGAGCACATTTGGTTGAGGCAACGTGCAGGAAAAACCCCAAGCAATAATAAAAAGCAGAAAAATTAAGTGCTTTATGGTCAGGAAATTCCGTTAAGTTAAAATTTCTACTTAAACATTAACTTGGCCAAACAGTACATCCTGTGTATCTTACAAAGTGGATTAAATAAACTTAAGGTTTAATAAAGAAAACAGAAAGGATCAGGAATCTTGGGAATCCTTTGCTTGTAAAGCTGGACACATAACTATAGTAATTTTACATAAACAATTAGAGGTCACTGCAAAAATAAACTCAGTTTCATTTTCTCCTTCTAATTTTCATGTCTCCCATTCCCACCAGCTGCCAGGAAAATGTTGCTTCAGGCCCCATAGCAATTCCCATGACAGCCCAGCACCCCATCCTTGGTTTTCCTCATCTGTACCACTGGACTTGGTGTAGACTTTCAGAAGGTCAGAGAGGAAGCTCTTCTTCACCACAGCAGTGCTGCTCAAGTTCTCCTTGTCCAGTATCCTCAGAAAATCTTCAAGTTCTGTGAGCAGCTGCTCGAGAGCTACAACAGAAACAGAGACAACTGTTGGCAAAGCAGCTGGCTGGTGTGTGTCAAAAGAGGACATATGTTAATTCCATGATTTCCAAAATCCTTTGCTTTTTCTGCCCAAGAATAGTTCATATTTAATTTTCCAGCTTGAACTCTGCCTCTAGCCTTGGCAAGAAAGTGAGTCTCAAACCAAAAAATCTCCAATTTCCCTTAGTCTGTTCACACATTAGTGAAACCCCATGTAAATACCTGTTCTCCTTCCATTAGGACTTCTTGCTCAAGCAAAGACAACCTGAAGAGATTTTGAGCATTGGGGCTGAGATTACACTAAAGCAGATTGCAAGGTCGTGATACATGCACTTTGAGTCCTGGCAAATATCATTCAAACCTCATTTGGCTTGGAACCTACCAAAAATCCTGATTTTTGCTTCTTTGTAAGCCTCCTCCTTATCTGGGAGAGATGGGGCCCTGGCAGTCTGGTGTAGCAGGAGGTGTCCTTGCCCATGGCAAGGAAGCTGGAACTAGATGGTCTCTAAGGTTCCCTCCAGCACAAACCACTCAACAATTTTACGTTTCATTCCACTATTATTTCTCTGTCTGCATTAATTTGAAAATGTTTATGTGGGTATCCCAAGAAGAAAAGGAAAAAACATCCCCACCTCCTCACATCCATAAATCACAGCCCAGTAACTTCTCAAGCCACCTTGCTTGGGCAGTAACCACAGACCCAATGCACCATGTGAAGCTGAAGCCACAAGACTCAGCAGCACCTCTCAGAGCCTCAGGAGGCCCTGCTGCACCCACGACACCCCTGCACACCCAGAGCCAGCAGTGGGACAGGCACTGCCCAGCTCAGCCAGCCTAATGGGTTTGTTTTCCTCCTGAGGAGGCACAGCACAGCCCTGCCACCAACAAATCACTGCCCTGACAGGGCTCACGCTGCAGCAACAGACTCTTAATTGCTTGCTTTTGTTCACACCAGAGTTCATCGTGGGCTAATTAGCAGCAGGGGCAGGAGGAGGAAATAACAGAGCGTTATTATGTGGAGGGAGGGACAGCGTGTGGGAAAAACATCCCAAACCCAGCTGGGACTGCTCCTCCCCTCTGGAGGCTCCTCTGCTGCCCAACTCCATGGCTCCCTGGGGCTGACAGGGATGGGCAGTGAAGCTTGGCTGGGCCACCACCACCCTGCAATGACCCCTGAGCACTCCACCAGGGAGCTGAGGGGTAATTAATGCTCCCTTCCCTGTACTCACAGCATCCCCACACTGCTGATCCCATGGAACCCCTGTGAGTCACAGCTCACTCCACAGAAAAGTGTTAACACTTTGGATTCATAACACAAAGCATCTGAGCAGTTCTAGTTAAAGAGCTACCGCATTTAAGGTCACTTTTTTAAAGGCAGGAGAAAGCCATCACCTTCCTACTCACCCATCTTTAGCCACCAGGCAACCTTCCTGGGGTAAATGCACGTCAGAAGATTGATAAATAAATTACACTGTAAAGGTTTATGCTGCTGGCCATTAATTGAAAAAACTTGCTACTGCTCTCAAACTGAATTAATCTTCACCAGGCTGACTGTAAAACAGCCAAATTACTCCAGATCAGTCAATAACAGCTCCAGAGGAACCAACCAACTTGTAGTTATTCACACATCATTCTATACCCTCTACAACACCAAATTAATTCTCTTCTGGTCTGATTTAGGAGCAGCAGGGAATGGAAAACACCTGCATCATGTTGTGTTAACTCAAAGGTCTTTGCTAGCTTCTGTTTTGCCCAGAGAAAACAGGAATTACCTCAAGAAATAGAAGCTTTATTTTTCCCCATAAGCTGTGAGGAAGCAGGTAGCATTTGCTGATAACACTGCTGGATTTCAATAAGCCATGAATGGTGTCAAACCTACTCACAGCAGGCTTCTCTAAAGCTTCAGGGACCCTGTTTCTCCCAAGTTTGAGGGAACTCTCCATGGTAAATCACAGCCTTGCTAAACTCATCTGCTTCAGTGGCCCACTTCAGAAAATTCAAACTGATGTCAGGTCCTGCTGGTCAGGCCAGCTGCACAGGACATTGATGTGTGACATTGATGGTATCAGAAACAACAGCACCAGGGACACCTAACCACAATCTGAAGCTTCAGAAGCAGTTGCCCATGTGGATGTCACAACACTGGGTTTGCAGGGAAGGGGGCACAATTCCCATTCCCTCTTCCACCCCCAGACTGCAGAAAATGAGTTTATTCTTCTCCCAGGCATCCACAGCTAGCACAGACACAGGGCTGAGCCCTGATGAATAGCAGAGCCCATACAGTAGGTTACATTTTCCAGCCCACCAAAGCTGAACTCAGGCTTCCAGTGACTCAAAGCAGCTCATTTAGGATGTGATCCTGGGGCCATAGAGGTCAGTGGAAAGACTCTGTCAGACCTCAATGGATTCAGACTTCAGGGACTCAAGAGAGCCTAATTCTGTTCTTCTTCTGCAAGAAGCAGTATATAAGCCATCTGCTTCTATGCAAGTATCTCCCTGGCCTCAGTTGGATATTCCCAATCCAAACCTGATACCTGCAAAAAAAAAAAAAAAAAAATCCTCCACTGACATTCATTCTCTCCTACCAGAGGGAGAACAAGCTAATATTTATCGGAAACTGATGAGTGTGAGAAGTAAAATGAATTAATGCTAATAGGGTCTGTAAGATCCTCTGTGCAAGCACTATCACAGCAGGTCCCAGCAGTAGAAACAATTGAGAGTCCTTGTACATTAAAGCATCTCAGGATTCTGAGTGCTGGAAGTCACTGCTTGATCTCAGATGAAGCCCAATCATGTTGTGCTGGTGATGTATGGATGTACCACACTCATGGCAAAACCAGGCTGGTGGTTTTTCAAAGCAGCCTGAAACAAATGGTTCTCCCTCCAAGCTGCATGGCTTTGCTCTCCTTATCTTAGCAGTTTAGAAATGACAGCACATAAAGAGATGATTCCTGCTCTGCGGGGCAATAGTTACAGATCCAAGGAACAGATTTCCAAAATGGTATGGTTGTGAGCAGCAGGATGAGAGATCAGAAGTAGACAGAAGCCTAAGTCATAAGGCAGAGACATTCTCAGATGCTTTTCTGAAACTTTTTTTCCACTGCTATATTGCTCTTCTCAACTCTCACAGCACTTCTTTGTAACTTCAGCAATATTTCTGGCACCACCTCAAACAAAGAGTTTCACAGATCTTACAAAAATTCAGCCCTTCACAGAAAACGGGGATTACCTCTAAGGTTTAGATTGTCAGAAAAATTAAGAGGCTTGGCCAAGGTCACTGTGAATACCTGCACTGAATCCAGTTCCCTGAAGCACCAGGGTATGCCCTGCTCCAGTTCCCTAAAAGCGTGGCCACAGACCTGGTGTCCCATCAGAAAGCACAGCTCAGCTCTTGCCATGTTCTTCTCCATGGCAAAAAGACATCAGCAACTGGATAAAACCCACAGGAATTTCTCAACCCATGATGGAGAGAGGCACAGGAGCATCACAGTCCATGGAAAACTTGAGTGATTTGCATCTGCAGAGAGTGGATGATCATCACTGAAAGGATGGTACTTTGATATACATAGAAATATCACATCTTATACATAAAAATATCACATCTCTACTGATGTAATAGGGACTTTCAGGGTGGGGGTTATAGGCAGAAATACCAGCTCCTTCTTCTTGCATGCACTTAACTGGGTGATGAGATATGTTCTCCCTTCTTTTACTCCAAGACAATGGAACCCATTTTACAGAAGCTCCTGGGCTGCCCCTGAGCAGCACAGGCTCTCTCAGTTTGAAGGCTGCAGCTCTGGTCTGGGCAATAAGCAAAGAGATGCTTTGAACACTGATCTGTTCCAGCAGCAGCTCAGTGGCAGCAGGACAGCACTGAAAAGGGCTTCTTTTGGCAGGAGCCTGTGCCTTTCTTTGCAGACTGAGAGTCTCTTGCATTGCAGCAGTGTCTATCCCAGCTCATGAGAACTCAGAGCCAAAAATGAAACAGCTTGCAAAGCCCTCATTGAGGAAGCACATTCCTTGCAGAAGAGCTGCCAATTTTGCCTGACACCAAGGTCACTGAAAGGTAAATGACCATTAAACTAGATTATAAAAGCCATTCCTACCAATAACCACTGATCTCTGTCATGGTGCTACAATAACAACCTATGTCTATATCTAATTACTTCATGTCTTGGCCTTATGAGGAAATGGGAAGAGAGGCTCTGAATGAACTTGCATTCAAGTGTTTCAGTAACCACTGGATTGTATTAGACCTTTTAATCTAAATTCAATTACTTATTTTATCAAGGTGAGGGGCCCCAGCCACCGGACAAAGAACGTAATGAGATATATCCTAAAGGACAAACTCTTTCCTCTGCTGAGATGAGAGGTGAAAGATAAGGAGTATAATTTGCTAACAGGAAACTGAGGCATTGGGAGACTAAGTGATTGGTCCAAGGATATGGGCATACTCTTCAGCAGATCAGGAATACAAACTAGCTTTCCCACATCCCAGCCTGGGGATTGTGTTTCCAACCCCCCAAAGCGCTGAGAGATATTCCACCCTCCTGTCCAAAGCAGAGTCTGGGTTTGGTACTTTTGGCTTCACCCTTCCCTGTTAGAAGGAGCTGGGCTAAGCTGCTGACAAACAACTCCATCCAGGCACCAAGTAAATACCTGCAGCCTGTGCTGTGCCAAAATTCCTGCTTCAAAAATCTTGGAAACTCCAGAACTGGTAACAGCATTGTGAGCCATGAAAAAGCCAGCCCCAGGGCAGAGGAGTGCCTGAGGTACCTGCCCACACCCAGCCTCCCTCCACCTTGCACTACACCCCATGGCAGCCTCTCAGCTCCCATTTCCCACTGCCCAGCCCTGGCTGGCAGCACTGGGATTCCCCAGGGGCTGCTCTGGCAGACAGCAGTTCCTTTCTAGCTCTGCTCTCTTTTTTCCTTGGCTGCACAAGATGAATAGGGCAGCTGAGGAGCGTGCAGAGAGGACAGGCA